GAAAATGGCTAAAGACTCAGTAGCTCAGATTGAGTTAGGTAGGTCATTCCACCAGCAGGAACAGTCGGGGTAAAGGTCTGTGAAAGAGATTTTGTGCCTCTTTGGGATGGCCCCACAAGGCACTGTTCGTTCACTTGCAGACGTCAAGCTTTTGGAGGACACATAGGTCTGAATTATAGAGGTGTAGAGCCAGTGGTTTTGTTGGCAAACACCATTGCCTTGAATTGTGAGCGGCAATTGGCATCCAGTGCAAGTTTATGAGGAGAGGTGTGGCGTGTGCTCTCTTCGGCTCATTAAAGACCACTCTTGCTGCAGCATTCTGGATCATTAGCATGCCGGATGGCCTGCAAAGAGAGCATTGCAGTAGTCCATCTGGATAGAACAAGAGCTTGGACAAGGAGTTGTGGAGCATGCTTCGATAGGAAGGGACTGATCTTCTTAATGTTGCTTAGGGAAAATTTGGACGACCTGGCTGTTCTAGCAATGTGGTCTATAAAGTTTAACTGATCATCAATCACAACTCCAAGGTTCCTGGATGGAAACCTAGCTGGATGGTTGGCTGAGACCACAAGCAGTTCTGTCTGCACAAGGTTGAGTTGAAGGTTGTGATACTTTATCCAGCAAGAATTGTCCATCAGGCAGGCTTAAGATGCAAGCAGCTACAGTCGGATCATCTGGCTGGAGTGAGAGGTAGATTTGTGCATACTGTAGCATTGATAGAAAAAACCCATGTTTCTGAATGACAGATCCTAGTGATGACGACGGAGATGGAGAAGTGGTCCAAGCACCGAACCCTGAGGCACCCCAGTAGCTAGATGACTTAGACATCTCACCGTTCCAAGACACCCTGAAGGACCTATTCATAACCTCTTTTCCCACTCTATGGTCAGTTCTGCATAAAAACATCTTTTCTAGCAAGATTCTGTATTTCTTTAGCAAATACTGTTATATCAGGAATGATTTAAGTGACCTCCATTTGAATATAATTGTGCATTTTCAAACTGCTGTGTGTGTGTTTTGATGAATGCAAAGAATTTACACATATTTCAAACAGTTTTCATTTAAAAATGCGCATGAATAGAAAAGAACGCAGGGGTCTCTCATTGAATTTTTTTCCCTCCAGTTTTGAGGTGAGCTTTTTGTTGTATAGGGTGATTTTACATTTAATCCAATTTAAAGGAAACAAACTTGTAGGACCCAAAAGTGAAAAATCTCCTTTCATCCCTGTTGTGATGATGGTGTCAATTGCATTTACACTGTGTAATTTGTATTACTATAATATAATATTTCTAATTGATGATGATTATTTGAGTCAAAATTGTGATTAAAGTTCTTTGGCATCAATAATACAACATGTATATTTTGTTTTCCTTGTTATATATATATATATATATATATATATATATATATATTCAAAAAGCATCATGTGGTCTATTGCGGAAATGTGTTATTTTATGAATTCCACTCTCATGTTCAGTGCAAAACACTGAATGTTCATTGCGAAGAACATTTTAATTTGAATGAACAGATTTTAATGCATCTGTTCAAACTGCATGAACACAAATGCTGTCATAATATTTTTTAAAAGAAAAGTGTTTAAATAACTTTTCCATTGCATTGTGAAAAAAAAAAATACCATTAATATTAAATACTAATAAGGTTTGAGCTTTTGGTCACATGCCTTTATAGTCGCATGCCAGAGCTGCTGACCTGGTGGTTCTCAAAAACAGACTTTTTCTAAGCAACAATGCATATCTGTACTCTTGGTGATACTCTTGAGCAAATTGAGCATCTGAACAGCTGTTTGAAAGCATGCAAATACTATTTGATTTAATTTATTCTCTGTGACAAGCAGATGTCATAAATGGGAAATTGGCCAGCGCTTAAGTGTGGTATTTCTGCTTTTCTATAACCACAACCTAATGTCAGAGAGAGATTTTATAATCTCTGAAAAACTTGCTTTCCATACAAAGAAATAGGCTGGTAACCACCATTGTATCAAGATCCAAAAAAAAAAAAAAGTTCCCCCAGAAAATCCCATAAAAGTCAATGACATATTTTCATTTTTTTCCTCTTTGAGATGAAATACTACTCAATACAACAACTTGAAATATACAGTTGATATCCAATAACATGTAATAATTGAGGCTATCTTTAACAAAGACAGCCGTATAAGATTTCTTATTGAACATTATGAAATATACAATCCAATTTGGAAAGAACAATCTTTTATTGCAAAATATCCAGTAGCTACTGTACATTGTTACATGTCACATTATTGAGCCATTGCAGAAATTACTTTTCTCACTCTCTTTGTATCCTCTATCCTGTATTGTCCTACTGATATGGACTTCAGTTTATCTAATTACAGTAAATATATAACTTACCAAGGTGTGTATTTGTGTGTATATATGAAGAGTTCAGATGCAAAAGCCTCTAAATGCCATTTGAAATTTTCTTCTTTAATGATGATTTTTTATCAAACTTGTATATTTAAGTTCAGTAATTTCACTTAAATAACAATTATTAGGTAATCATCATTGCCATTTAAGTGAAATTACTGAACTTAAATATACAAGCTTGATAAAAATTATCATTAAAGAAGAAAATTTCAAATGGCATTTAGAGGCTTTTGCATCTGAACTCTTCATATATCCTTTACGTATTTGGTAGTGATCGCATCATCATCTACATAGCTAATTGGTTGCTGACTGTACAGGTGTTCCTAATAATCATTTAGGTGTGTGTGTGTGTATATATATATATATGTCACGAAGGGCAAGGAATGAAGTGCAGAGAGAATCCATGTGCAGAACTTATTTAATAAAATAAAAACAAGTAACTTAACCAGAAACTCAAGGCAGGAACACGGAACAGCGAGACAGTACCATCAACGACTGACCAGGAACAACTAAAATACAGGGGAAAACTAGCTAGACAAGATAACAAGGGGGTGTGGTTAACAAGAAACACCTGGGGAGACTAATCAAACTAATGGGGAACTGAAAACATGATGGGAGACAGGGGAACACAGACTTGAATTATGACAATATATATATACACACACACACACACACACACACTGTACATAATTGGGACTTCTGGGTGGACAATGATGTAGACAGCAAGACTTTCTTTGATTCAATTTGACAACAGATGAGTGGCCAGCCATAGGGGGGCAAAGGTGTTAGATGAAGTGAAGTAAGATACCCCAGGGGTGCAGAGGCCAGGGAAAGGCCACGCATGACCTTCTAATACAGTTGTGCTTCTTTCCAGCACTCTGGTGTCTGAGAGGCTGAACCTTCTGCTCTCCTCCGAGCTAATGGACACCGAAATAAACTACGCATCATTAATCAGTTGTCTGTCACATTACACCTGCTGTGCTGCCGGAGACTGGTGCACGGCTTCATATGCAGCCCTTTATCTCAGAATCAATTTTAGTCCGCCTACTATAGTGACTATTTTGGTGAAATATGGAAGATTTTTCTATTTTATTACCTTTTAGTAATTCTAATGACAAAAGTCTTTGAGGCATAATTTATACATATTTTATTCATGATATTTCTGAAGTTGATGATTGTGTCCAAGCTTAAGTTGCTCTAATGTCAGTGATTCAGTGGATCATTTCTGCTAAATTGTTCTTTTTGTCTACGGCTTGCCAGTTTCATTGTAACTTTCTGTGTCATTGCATGGCACATTGCCTAAGGCCTTGTTCAGTCAGACTGCAAAAATCAGCTTTTTTTTGTTGCCTATATCAAACTTTTCAATAGTCTGAACGGAAAATAAACTCATGAAATACCATTTTCAGAAGCCTTTTGGAGTTGCTTCTAAATGTTTAAATCATATTTTTGTTGATTCATCTCAGTCTAAAGGATCAGATCTGATTTTGTGGGGTTTTCTTTTTCATCTTTTGTTGCACAACAGCTAGTTTTATGACAGGAATACTTAAACACTAGCAGCAGGAAACATTGCATTTTGCTGTTGTCTGCAATGGATATTTCCCACCAAAATATTGAATCGACAACCAATGTGGATGTGCCTGTCGGTCTGAACAACGAAAATCTGGCCATGTATAAGTTAAGAAAAAAACGTAGGCCTATTTCTCTTTAGACATGTGAAGGTATCAAGTTTTCATATCACAATAATTGCTGAAACTTTTATAGGAGTATTCAATTACATTACAAAAACAAGTTGAAAAGATAAACATACTTAAATGTTGCCCTTTTAATTAGAAGTTCAATAACCTTTTACAAATAACAAAAATAACATTTTAAATACCAAGAATCAATATTTTCATTTTCTTTCTACAAAAACGACAAAAGTTTACAATGACTTCAGTCATTACTGGTGGGTTATGATGATCTTTACTTTAGAATGAATTATATTATGCATTATTGACATCAATTATGAACCTGTATTGTTCTTAGTAGTCCTCTGGGAGACACAGTATGAAAAATAATGTATATAATGTTAATATATAATGTTCCTATAATGTTAATATTGTTTTACTCATTTGTTCCTGTGTAGGCAAGGCAAGTTTATTTATATAGCACATTTCATACACAGTGGCAATTCAAAGTGCTTTACATGGAAGAAATTAAAGAAGTCAGAATAATTAAAACAGTTTAGAATAAAAAAAAAATCATAATAATAAAAATAAAATACAGTGTCGAAAATAAAATGTACAGTAACAGTCGGACAAACAGTGGCACAGTGCTCATTCAGTAAATGCAATCAATATAAATAAAAACAGTTAAGAGTAAAAATAAAATAAAATAAAGTAATCCCCCTATCTGAGATGGAAGAGATTGAGCTGGTTTACGGTGCTACTGGGCCTCCAGCCCAGCGACTTCTTATATTCTCGGCAGTAACTTACTTCTTCACTCGCCTCATCGGAGTGAAGACTCTCCCGCTCTCCAGTGTAGTTATTTGTTAATGAAGGAACCACAAATGTAGCACCATAATTTTTCCTGAACACAGTATCCTAATTTTTTTTCTAGGTTTTGGAGGGTACGGCAGACCACCGCAATCTGGCATCATTGCAGGAACTTTACAGCTTCGCTTCAACACTGCGATCCAGACCCCCATCACTCCTTGAAATCCAGGAAATGTGCTCGACTGCATTATTTGTCTGGATATTTGCCTGGTAATAATGCTTTTTTGTTTAAACTATTAAAATCTGTCTGTCTATCTGTTCACACCGACCCGTTTCTCTTCCATGGCTGGTGTCACACCATGGGAACCTCCCTGTCACCATTAGGCTTCTGTTTGACTGTCAGCTTGTTTTGTTTTGTTTTGCCACGTGTGTTCCCCAGTCTGAGTTTCCCGCCACCAATCTGTTTCCATGGACACCCATCACATTCCTCACAGCTGCCTGTCGTTTGTTGTAATCATCCCTGTGTATTTAGTTCCTGCTTGTATTCGGTTCTCTGTCCGTTATTGTTTGTGTTTTACACTCTGTTACACCCGTTTGCTTGTCTTTAGAATAAAACTCGTTTTGGATTTATTTCTTTTTTCTGTCCACCCCGTGACATTGCCTTGGTGGATAGTATACAAATGGCTGAGGACAGAAATATGCTAATATGGGACAGTCCGTCAGTGGTCGTGGGGTGGAGCATGAGCAATATGACATCACATTGCTCAGAAAATCCAAAGGGATTGATTAATGTGAGTGTTTAGGCTTTTTGTGGATAAAAAAAAAAGAAATTTGCATCCGATGAACCCATTAATGAAATTAACATCAGGTGTGACGAGTAATCAAGTAAATAGGAAAAACAAACAAACATGGAAACTAACTAAACTAAACATGACAAACCCATCCACAAACAGAAACAAAACCAGAAGATCCCTAACAACATGCGGATCATACATGTTTTTTTGTTTTTTTTGGGGTTGACGTCATCTTTAACTTCCACACTGACCGCTAGATTACCTCTACTGCCAGAGAGAAATATAAAAAAAGCAGCTGTTAATTTTAGTTTTGCCTTCTCTATTGAAAGATGAAGGCCACTGCTGCTTTGAGAGAACCGGAGATGAGCATAACCGTCTGATGGATAAATATGTGTCCTTCCTCTGGAGCCAGAAAATGTACAGAAGTCTTGAATTGTGCTCCTGTGCTCAGCATTACTCGGTCCAGCATTGTGCACTATTATGAATCATCTGAACAGCGAGGTGTGTGCTGTAGTGTGGGTGTACCAATCAATTCAAGGGTTTACTGCAGACGGGAATTCAAAATAATTATCCCGAAATAACTGTGCCCCACCGGACATTAGTCCTAATGAAAGTGACTACAGAAATGGTTGACAGCTATTTTTTTCTGTTACATTACAACAAATGTTATTGTTTGCGGATTGAATATAATCACAAGAATTCTTACGATTGATTTATTTCATTATCTTTGGTTGCTGACTTTCTGTTTGATCTCTGTTATGACTGACAGTCATTTCCATTGGCTTTGGCAGGGCAATCAGGCAGCGGAAAGGGAGAGTTGTCGAGTGTTTATTAGAACGGCGGACGACGTGTCGGCTGTAATGCTCAGAACACCGAGACCACAAGCCCAACCACCTGACAGGCCTGGTGACCCTGCAAGACGGTTTCCAGACAGCTGCAGCTGGACTGATGTTCAGGTAGGTCTTCTTTTGTGTATGTGACCAATGCCAAGCAAAGCCAAATCATCCGTGACTTTCAATATTTGTTATTCACGTGTTTCATGAACAATCAATGAAATTATGGCTCCCTCCGGTTAACATTTGAACATTAAACTGGCCTCTCGTGAGTTCTCGTTGATGAAAGCAAACTCCATAAGTGGTTTTTCTGTGTTATTTTCCTTTTCAAAGCAAACAGTGATCAGGCAAAGTGTGTCATGTACAGTGTGCAGGTCTTCACAAAGGAAAACTATAGGGAGTTGCTACAAAAATCTTGAATTGCTGGCTTATATTTAAAATCAATAGCTCTCATGAACAAGTTGACCTGGAATGAATTTTTAAAATGATTTTTTAAAGACATAAAAAATACTTTTTAAAGACATTTGAGACTGTCTTTTTTTACTGCAGTTTTAAGGAGAATATTGCAATAGCGCAATTGTTTTAACTTTTGCATTTGTACATGTTTTTTTCTTAAATCATATTTAAAACACCACATAGACATTAATAGCTTGATTTTCACCACAAGGGGGACTTTAAGTGTTTATCATGTAAAAATTTGAGTGCAGAAGAGAGGCTCTGTCATTTCTAATGACACTGTTTTATAATAGTAATTTTAATTGATGGTAAATATATATATATATATGAAGAGTTCAGATGCAAAAGCCTCTAAGTGCCATTTGAAATTTTCTTCTAGAATGATCATTTTTATCAAGCTTGTATATTTGTTATTTAAGTGAAATTACTGAACTTAAATATACAAGTTTGATAAAAATCATCATTAAAGAAGAAAATTTCAAATGGCATTTAGAGGCTTTTGCATCTGAACTCTTCATATACTGTATATATATCATCAATGATGTGTTTATTTGATCAAATTTATATCAAAAACTGTAATGAAATTTACCTATTATAACAAATTAAAATAACTGCATTATAATGTATTTTGAAATGTAATTTATTACTGTGATGGCATACATATACAAATGGCATACATATACAAATATACATTAGCAATAATTAAAAAGTGATTTGTATTGTAATCATACAATGATTAGTACCTATAGTTGTAGTAAATTGCTTTTGTTGCCAATAAAAGTAATGAACCACTCCAGGCCATGCATTACAGTGATTTTACTGCTTCACATTGCTCGAGTGGCTTATTGCTTTATTAAAGTGCTGAGAAAACAGGGCAGTTGTGATTATCCAGAACAAAAGTGGTTTAATGATTTGAGTTAGTCCATGTTAGGTGACTTGCTTGCTGTATCAACCATCTCACGCAAAGAACAGTGCATTCACTCTGATCCATAACCGATCTGAATCATGTACGGCTTTGTACTTATTATATAATCAATATGCTTTTATGTTTATGAAATAACACCCAGCTGTGAGTGTTACAGTGTCTGAGCTTTAGTACCTGCAAGACGACGAAGCAAGAAGACTGTGATTACAACGGTCACACCTGGAAAAATCATTTCATTAGCTGCTGAAGGCCCTTAAAACCAAATGCAACACCGTTTTTGCATCTGTAATCTATATTTCTTAATGACAACAATAGACAAGACTGGGCTTGATTGTATCCATTGGGAATTGGCTGGGATCTGAATAGTGGTTGGAGGCCGAGTGTTTTATCGGTTAGCATGACCAGGTCAGCTTGGTTCACATGAGTCTGAGACTCCAAGGATAAAAAGTGCAAAGGAAGTTCAGTGTGCTCAGCTGTGTTGTAGCCATTATTTCGGATTGTAGACTTATCTGGGCAGGAGCCATGAAAAGATGATGCTGAGGTGGAAATGGGGAAAATAGATCTCCTGGAGGTGATGGAATTGGAGGGGGATGTTTCAGATTTATAGATACATATCCAATGGGAATTGAACTAGAAGGGGGAATATGGGAATCCGATTAGAATGCCAGTACTGACAAGCAGTGCCTTGCTATTTGTGTGTCGGTACAGTTGGAGATGGAAGCGATGTTGCTGCCGATGGCGACCGTCAGCATCAGAGCCGGAAGTGGCAGAACAGAAGATCCGATTAGAGGAAAGAAATGACATTGGCTGATTAAATAAGCTGTACAGGATGCCAGTGTAAATAATAAATGTACCGACCGTCTGTGAGTCTCAGGCAACAATCCTCAGATGCAGAAAAGACAACACTGTGAAAACAAAAGCACTTGAGGCACAGCAATGTATTTTCTGAGTGAAATATAAGAGCTGCTTGCCCGGCAAGTCGAACTGACACGATTTTAAGGTGTTGTGGGTGGTTGGCAGAGTAGTTTTATTCATATAATTCACACAAAACTGGATATCACTTTCTCAAGCTATCAACCTCTAATCTGATTGGCTAGATTTACGCAATTTCGGATGATTATCTTGTGTGGAAATGTAATCGAGTTTTCAACATGCCAGGTTAATATAATTAGGAAGAAGTTATGAGTTGATTTGCCAAAGTCTGTGATGTTAGTGGCATCGATTCTTAAGAGTTTTTGTTTTAGGAACTTTGTTGCAAGCTGCTTATTTAATTGAATTACAATGGGCTAATTCTGTCAGTCAGTCAGTCTCTATGATATTCTGGTCTGGAGATATCTTATAAACACCTTTCTACCCCCCACACACATACACTCACAGCAGGACTTCAAACTTCGAAGTTGTTACTTATCAATAAAGGAGGATTTCCTTGGGCTGTCTCCCCATATCACAACTTCCTGTTTTTGCTATTCCATCCAGTTCATCCCTGCATCCAGCATACTAAATTTGATATGGAACACACTCTTGGCCTCTGTATCACTGCAGAGCTAAATTCTGATAAGACGACACTGCCAACCGGACCATTTCAAACCCCTCCCTTGCACATGCCCAGCTGGAGATGGCAGAGATGCAAATGAAGCTAATGTCCCCTAAGGCCTTGTCCAATAATCTACACCCATGAAGATATAATTTCTCAGAGTGCTGCACTCTGACAACTTCTTATTCTGCTGCGCCTTTGATCTTACTGGAGTCTATTACAGCAAATAAACATAGTTCGACTCCTTACATGAGGATAAAATGGAGCAGAGAATTTACAAAACCAAAATGTTTTAATTATTCGAGGGTCAAGTTAGCCGTTGATTCAAAAATAAAGAAAAATGCTGTTTTGTTTGTCAGCTCATTCCATTTATTATCCCATTTGCTCAAAATAAAACAAATCCTTCCAAATTCATTACATGAATCATAATGTTTTCCTCTGGGCAGCATTTTTGCCTAGAACAGGAGTGCCTATTATAATGCCCTATTTGAGGGTATAGGGGGCTATTTAGGATTCAGCATATAGATTTCCAGAAACAGGATTGTGCATCCCAAATGCCCCTGTTCTTGACATACATCAATTTAACTTGATTTCAAAAGCTTTTGAATCTGGGACCTTGCCTCAAAATCAGGAAGTGTACCTCTTGACAGTTTGCTGTTTCCTGCTGATGAAAAAGCCTTAAGGCCCGTTTACACCAATAACCATAACTATAATGATAACTGTAACACTAACTTTATTATGGCGCTTTTCCAGTACCGGCTCGACTCGGCTCGCTTTTCACAAATAATCAATCCAGCTCTTGAGACAAGCCCTGAAAATGTTTTAATTTTATGATCATTTGGTTTAATTTATTACACTTATGTTTCAGTTAATAAATCTACTAACAAATTAAAATAATGCAAAGTAAAAGACAAGTAGCCTAACCAATTGACATAGCCTTTCTAAATTATAGAAAAACTGGGCACACAGCCTAATGTTGAAGTGTGCCTACTTTGCTTAAATATGATGGAATAATAGAGGCCTATTTTTACTTCACATTTATTTCATTTGAATTGACTTTTTTTCAGTGTTGTGATTATGAATCCGTTTAACTACAATGTTAACCTTGAATTTATCTGCGACCTCAGCTCTCAATGAGCAGTCGCAAATTACGTCATATTTAGAGATTATTATTAGCTCGCTAATAAACAGCTACATTAAGCTTCAAGAACGGTAAAACATAAAAGCTGTGGGCCAACAGTATGTAATGAGGTTCGATCTCGGGTCGTTTGGAGATCTATGAGGTTGAGGTTGATGCGTTAACCACAGAGCTACCGTTAGAATGCTGATGCATTGTAAAGCCTCATTGATGTAGCCTAATATGTTTCTACTGCAATGTTTTAAGTTTTCATTATTTATTCAATTTAATTTCAGTATTGTGAATTATTATTTTAACTACGTTTCACTTGAATTAATCTGCTACCAGCTTTCAGTCGCTCTGAATGAGCCGCGGCGCGGCTGCAGATTACACAATAAACGGACACTTTTCAAAGTCTGTGATTATAGCGCCTCTTAGTGGCAAAAGGCAGCAAATACACCCCAAATTTTACCGCTGTGGCAGAACGGCGGCGGTAAAAGCCACATTCTGGTTGTCTACCTACTGTAAGTTTAGAAACTATCTCTGGCCAAACTATTTAAAAATGGCAGGGATTTTCTGGATACTCCATCTGGCGCGTGCAATGATGACGCAGTGAACGGCGACGATTCTCTCTGACCAATCAGCAGTCGGCATTGTTTTAACATCTTTAGTATCACCTCTGCTCACCTCAGCTCGCTCAGAACCTCACCGGAGGTGATGCAATAAAAAGTACCCGAACACAGTAACACAGTAGTATCCTGTGTTTCAGTTTTCCTGACCTTTGTTTGTGTTCAGAGTATTCACCTGTGTTGAGTTCATTTGCCCCAGCTGTGTCTGGTTTCCCTCTTCATTCCTCTCTAGTCAGTGTTCAGTGTCTGTTATTGTTTGTGTAAACGTGATGTTGCCCTTGAGTTTACCATTAAATACCTGGTTTCTCTGAAGATCCTTTGTTGTGCGCTTTAGATTACCTGGAAACGTAACACAGACAATATTACTGTTTTTAATGTGTTTTTAATCAAATAAATGCAGCCTTGGCGAGCATAAGACCACCAACCCCAAATGTTATCAAGCTGTTTTCCGATTAGGTCTATGTAATATTTTATAATAATGTTTTCAATTCGTTTTTAGCATGCACACAGTGGTTTTAGTATATTTTTCTGTCAGTGTGCAAAAGACTTTTTGAGGGTGTATGCGCTGTAGGCTACTTCACAATAACATGGCAAAATTGTTCCAAAGCCCACAATGATTGCATTCCTAATCTCTTCTTCATAATAACTTAATTCCTTGAAGCCAACTGAAATATTTCTCCTGTCATTAAAAGAGAAGACATTTCTTTAAACCGTAATCCCCCACAGAGATGAGAAATCACATTAGGAATTAAAGAAAGCATTTCTAGACCTGGAAATTTAAACAATTATGCTTAATGGTGCAATTGTCTGTTATGATAATGCTATGAGCTTCAAACAGCTATTGCGTTCTGATGCTGTCTCAATTTTATTAAGATTTACAGCAATTTTGTGTAATAAAAGGGAACTGCATCAACAGTAAAACACAATGGCAGTCTTATTTTGGCAATCAGGTTCAGCAGGATGGAGTTCCAGCGTGAAACCTTGTAATGGACTGTTTTAAATTTAAAAGTAGAGACAAGGGCAGCAGTGTCAAAACCATGTTATATTGTGAAAATGAAAGCAGAAAATTGAATTTTACTATAAATCCTTTTTGAAGTGGAAATGTTGCATGTGAACTTCTTGTCAGCAAAACTAGCCCAGGAAAAGGTCAGAGGAAGTGAACGTGCTCGTATCTGACAGCAGAGACATACTGCAGCTACAGTTGTAACTAATGTCTCACTTTGATGGGCCAAACCAATTCTCATAATAGACAGTGGCAATATATTCGCACACATTTTCCTCAACCAATCATAATCAAGCATTTAAACATGGAAGCTTGTTTCCACCACTGAATTAAAAATAAAAATAGTTAATTGCGACTTTTTATCTCACAATTCTGACTTTTGCTTAGAATTGCGTAATATAAACTCACAATTGCTAGTTTTAAAGTCAGAATTGCGAGAAAATAAGTCGCAATTAACTTTTAAAAAAAAATAATCAGTAGCGGAAACAAGCTTTTGTTCTTGCAGTTTACTTCTGAAATACATCTCAAAAAAGTCGGAATTGCGAGATGTAAACTCGCAATTGCAAGAAAAAAAGTCTGAATTGTGAGAAATTTGTAATTAACTTTAAAAAAAAAATATTATTATGTGGTGAAAACAAGCTTCCATATTTAACAGCCCTGTGGTAAAAGAATGATTCATTTATTCATGGTATTTTAAAAAAATGACTTGGAAAAATATATTTAAAAACTCATTTGAAAGTAATGATACTCACATTTATTCAGGATTTAATGTTCAAAAACATATGAAAGAAAAATGATTACATTTCGAAGGCATAGATATTAAAAATATGCTTTCCTTTTCTTTAATGTACAATTTATGAATATAGAATTTATATTATTTTCTAACACACAACCACTGTTAGGCAGTTTTTGTTTGAAAAGCTTTCAAAACTTGAAAAGTTTTGGACCACTTGCATTTTCACTAGTGATCACAAACTTTTGGATCCACTGCACATCAACTCAGAAAATGGTTTTCGCCAAACTATTCCAGAGGTTATAGAAAGAGCTTTCACATTACCAAACCATTTTCTCCATAAGGAACTAGTTGTAAATGAGACACAATTGTTATTTTACATTGTCATCGGCTGTTTTTCAGACTGACAAACCTATAATATCATACTCTGAGACTATAATATCATATGCAGAGACAGAGAATGTGTCCAGACTATGATGACAGCTGTAATTTTCTCGCCAGTTGATACTTGAGAGGGAGCGAGGAAAGGGAACCTGCTTCAGTGAGATAATTTTAGCTCTCTTTCCTGAGATTTGATTCTCTGTCTCTCTTTTTTAATAGAGACGGTGATTAATCACCAATAGCTTAAATAACGACACCAGTTTTACCTAAGCAGGGGACGGTGCTGGCTCTGCAAAAAGCCAGATCAGTCTCTCGCGCCACGTGGAGAGAATATGAGATTGAGTGGTGTGGACCTCCTCAAAGCCAGTAATCCCTATAATGTAGTTTTGCTATTCCTGCCACCCA